ATCCTCAAAAATCTCCGTCTCGTTGTTTCTCGCAAGATAAAATGCAAACGCATAAGTCCATTTTAATGTCATACGACACTGGACAAGTATGTCGACAGCCTTTTTGAGAAATTGCACTTCAATCCAGGATAGGTCAGAAGTTTGTTGCATTTCTTCCATTTTTTTTTCCGTCTTGTTATACAATTCACGATCTAACTTTGCGGATTGTTCATGATTTGCGAAGCGATTGTAATACTTCGATGTAAGAAAGGATATAAAGAATGGTTAGCATTGGGTATTTAATAGTATTGTGTGAGTATTGAAAAATCATGCTGATATTTAGGAATAGATGTTTAACATTAATATCATCATATCTGTTGAACGTATCGAGTAAATTTTTTTCTAATGTATCATGATTCGAGTCAATACCGTTTTGAACTAGTTAACCCCTCACCTCCTAAGCCAATGCCCAAACATACTTACATGCAAATACCTGTCCAACGAAGCTCTCGACTTTGCCTGCTGATCCCTAGCCTCTTGGCTGCTCTTCTCATCATACCTATTACAATTATACCAACTAGTCCCATGTTCTGACCACGGCCCCATGCATACCCAGCAGAATTCGTATTTGCATTTGCGACAAGTCATATGATTACACCCTCCATTCTTCTCAATCGTCGAATGACACTTTCCGCATTCTTTTGTATTTGCCGAGATCCAGTTGGCTGTTTCCGAGTCATCCTCACATTTTTTAATCCATTTCTTAACTAGCATACAGATTGACGGTTGATGATCGGAAAGACCACATCCGAAGCAGAAGCGATAGGTACATGCGCATTCGACTGTTGGAACAATACTGGTTAAGGACGTTTGGGGCACGTGACATTCCACTGCGTATTCGCACGATGGAGCTGGACACCAACGCAGGTATTCATTGTCGTCAACATATGTCCTGTTTAATAGTCTTCGATATCTGTTGGAATCAAGGATCGAAAACGAGTTAGTCTATTAAACAACGGTCCAAGTAACATGCGACATACGAATAAGAGAATATATAGTAATGAGGTTGGCGCCTAACGGGTAAGACGAATTCTCCCTCATACTGTATAACCAACCCCAGCAACTCCAACGCTTTCCCTTCCATAGCATTCTATCACCCCTTACCTTTCGTGCACTTCCGGGCTCACAAGCAGTCCCACTGTCTTTTCATCTACAATAACATTACATTTACTAGCCATGCACATTATCCGCCTACTCTCGCCTTCCTCTTTAATCTTCTGTGTCAAATAATGTTCGTAACAATTACGGCAAAACCTATGTCCACATGATAACGCTAACGTGAGCATATTATCATCATCATCACAGCAAATCTCGCACACAAATCCCGGCATTCTGACGATCCTTGTCGCTCTAGAATTCTCAGTTATCACGCCCGCTTTCCGCAATACATCATGTGGATCATCCATATATCGTTCGATAAGTCGCTCTTTATTCCATCTGAAATGACGAAGTAGTGTTGCAGCATGCTCTTTTACAATCCCAAGTATGTTTGCTACGTGAGTCACTTCTTCATCTTGGTTTTTGACGATGCCGTCGATAGAGTGTACTTTAAAGTCGACTTCATATGGTTTTTTGCGATCTTTCTCGGCCACCACCACTTCGAAGTTTAGATCGTCGTCGGGATCGTCAACCATGTCTTCCGTTTCTTATGTTATTCGTTAGTGTAGTGTTTGGTAAAGAGAAAAACCGAGTATGCAGTGTTAGTGAGTGAATGCATTTGATATTTCGTATCTTCAGTATTAGGTGTAATTAGTATGTATACGAGAACCGGACACCGTTTTCTATGCTAACCTTGGCGATCATAGTATGTTTGTTCAAATGTAAGGCAAACTAGCGTACATACACAGCCATACACACATCTCCGGAAGTTCTTTCTCCCACCCCGGTCCATTCTTTACCTGATTCATAGTAGGACATTTCACTTCCATTATCCCCGTCATAAGTATTAATGTATTCGTCGTCGGAGAACTCTGACCCCATTTCGATTCTCCTTCTCTTTCTCTGTGGGGAAGACGTTTTGGCAGAGTATTAGAGAGAAAGGGACGAAAATAAAACGTTTAGATATGCAAAATAGGTCGGGGACAAGACAGCAGGGCGGTTACGGAGAAATGCTGTTAAATATAAGAGTATAGATGCCAATGTCCTTTATATGGTTTCTTTTTGACAAGAGACAAGAGACAAGAACGCAGCGAGCTTAGTGAGGGGGAAGTAAGCTGGCCTGTTGCGGTCTTATCCTTGTTAGGGTCTTTTGGCGACACACCTGGGGTTAGGTCTTTGATTTGTCACATGATTGAAGTCCGGAGAATGATAAATGAATTGTGGATGTGGTTGGGTTATTATTATGCATAGCGTAAAATTTTGGGGCCCAAATTATAAATACATAGTATTGGGAACTGTGAAACATAACGCGCGCCACATCATGAAAATCAATCGTTAATATGAGGCAGACTGCAACAAAACCAAACAAAGTGAACATTTTATTATGTGGCTGAAAATTAACTAATTTGACTAATAACATTTTGAAAGTAATAATGGCGCTTGTTTATAATAATAATAACTTACAGACTTGTTAATTTAATGCTCACCTTATCATACCAAAATGTGGTGAATATATATATAAATCATAACAGGATCAATATAGTATATAGGATTACCTCTATATATAAAAATATAATATGAAACTAGTTTACATCAAATCTACTATGGAACCCAAGAATTACAGCACCATTAGAAGCATTCTTAAAAAAGCTCAAGGAGAAAAAATTGCTCCATACGTTTTTAAAATCAATGATACCAAAACTCTCCAGGCATATCTAGATCAAGAAAAAATTACTTATGAAATTTACTAAGAAGAAAGAAAAATAATAAATAATAAACGAGCATTAACATCAGCGTATGTGAACCAAGAAAGAAACGAAAATTAACCCAAAGCTTCGCACAAGGCATTCCACCGATCGAACAACCTATCAACGAAAGATCATTCTTTATAATCATGATAAAAGACTGCCTAAATATTAATATTAATATGAAACTAATTTACATTAAATCGACCATGGAACCAAAGAATTACAGAAGTATTCTAAAGAAAGCTCAAGGAGAAAAAATTGCACCTTACATTTTTAAAATCAATAATACTCGAACTCTCCAGGAATATCTAGATCAAGAAAAAATCACTTATTATTATGAAACTTATCAAGAGGAACGGAAAATCATAATTACTAAACGAGCATTAACAGCAACACATGATGAACCAAGAAAGAAACGAAACTTGAAGAAACGTAAGAAAAATAAAGCTTTCCGCAAACGTCTCCACTGATTGTCAACGAAATTCGTTCCTTATTGATAAAGACTGCTCGAGCGCATTCGTTGAGCGTTGATCATATTTCGCTACTTTGACACAATTGCAACCGAGTAAAAATTACAAATAGAATTCTTTTTTTTGTAAGCATAATTTTAATATTTTTATTATAGCATGCGATTGCTTTTGAAAATATAAATAGCAATAAATGCACCAGAGTGATTGCATGGGAGAAAAATACTCGGACCCAAAGCCATTGATGAGTATAACCTATTCTTTGGACAAAGTTTCAATTTCATTATCTTTTATTCTATTATTATCATTAATAATATTTTTATTGCTGCGTATATTGGAATTGATTTATTGCAGACAAGCTGTAGAATGCTTTGATTCTGATGCATAGAATGCAATTGACACTAATAATGGTACGCTTTGCTATTCCGTAATCTTGGCATCATATTCTCTTGTGAATAAGCACCCCACTTTTTATATACTGTAGATGTTCCATTAACAATGAATAGCACACCACAACGTCTTGCTACTGGGCATTTGGGGAGAGTAGAATAAAATCTAGCAAAGGAAATGATGCTTATTCAAAAAAAAAATAGCAGATTGAAGAGGACGTAAAAAAATAAATGAGAAAAAAATGACGAGGAGACGTCAAGGTTGCAAAATGTGTTAAAATCTGGATGAAGGCGCTAAAAATTTTATTATTATTATTTGGTTATAAAAAACGCTCTGTAACCAAAAAATTTTTTTACGCTCCTTATATAATAATTCGGTTGAATTATTACTATGACTCGATTTGCGTTGTACACATACGCGATTCTCCTAGCATTCGGATGAGCGTACGTCCGCAATCCTAGATAATTGGACAACATCCGCTTAATAGAGCTCGACGTTACACTCTGGCCTCCATAAACTGGCTTATCTGAGGCTATTATACTCTAGATCTTTCGTTCAGGAGCAACGACAATAAGAATATTACGCATAGTCACAACTATTAACTCAGTATAGAGGCTTTCCCAACCTCCTCAATTATTGTGTATGTTTCCAACAAGTCATACGTTACTGAGACTTCATTTGACTAAATCATATGAGCGAGCACCCACTGACTATATTAATATTCAGTTTTTGAGAGTAGAATTTGTAGATATCATTGCTGTTTTACTACAAAGTCAGCGTGACATATATATTCTCAGAATTTCACCCATAGCTAGGAGGATGTCTTATATTGCGTGACGAGATACAACAGCTTTATTGGCAGTTCATTAAACGTATGAAATATAACTATCGTATATACAATATATCTACTTGTGAACAAGTAACTTGCAACGATGGCATATTGAAGAATTCATCGTAGTGTTAAGCTCGCTTAGTCTTGTCCCAGATTACTTGATACCATAACGCGTGAATCTTGAAAACCCCAATTTTTGCTGAAATGTACAGATCACGTGATGTAAATTAGAACGCGACACTAATATAATCGGAAGCAGAATAATGAAAAAAGTAAACGTACTCGTTTCAAAGGAACTGTATTGCTCACACCTATTAATAATCATGATCATTGAAAGACAGATATCTTCAAGCAATTTATCAAGCAACACAACTGAGTCTCACATTCTGATCACCTGCACACATCCCATCCAGCCTTATGCTACTCTCACGCGAGAGGAGACATCTCTGCATACACCATCTCTCCCTTCCTATCGTTCCCGTTTGCATCGCTCGCATTCTCTCCTCCCCTCCTCGGCTTCAACCCAGCTCCACTCCTAGCCTGCGGCCCAAGCGGCACAACATTCCTCGCGATTAATGGAACATTTCTCGTACCAAACCAACCCAATCTAAACGCCAGTTCATTAGCACTGATTTCGCCAAATCCCATCATCATTCCGGATAGAAACGGAAAGAAAAAATATAAAGCAAAGCCCTTAATAAATGATACGAGGCGTGGATGTTTATAGAACGGTGAGGTCAGGGATGAAGAGGTGGGTGAGGACGAATAGGTAGAGTGGAAGGAAGAAGCAGGAGAGATAGGTGTTGTATGAGGGGCGGTATTGGAGGTTGGAAGGGAAGTGTTGAAAAGTACATGTGAAACGTCTTCTTGCGGGTGCGTTGCTGCTAGTAGGGGCGATGTGGAGTCTGACATTTTGAGAAAAAAGTTCTGTAACGAAAGAAGACAGCGATTGTGAATCGGTCAATTGACTGAAATAATAGATTCTTTGGTTGAATTGGTCGATGGTCTTTATTATACAATTATATAGAGGATATATTCAACTGAAAGAAAGAGTGTCGTCAACAAAATTACTTTTTATCTGCGCCATTACTCTACTTGATTGGTTATCTATGCGCTTGTGTAACGGTACAAACATAAAAATGTTCAGAGATGCTTTAGAAATTTTCAATTATCATGCTTCGCGGCACGTTTACGACACTCACACCATTTACCAAAAATCCATCCCTCCTGACTTATTTCTTTAAATCAGACACTGGTGTATTCAAGGTGGAGATCTAAACTTGGAAAGTCGGTGAATAATCACGCTTACCCCATTTGATTGTTTTCCAATGCGAACATTTATAAGAGTTTGCGTTATAGAGAGGATATGTATCAAGCAAAAAGACGAGGATAAAAAAAGATCCACAAGGACTGCCTTTTGAGGAGGCGGTTGCCGTGTTAAAAGTATGTATTGTTTGCATTTATCGGCTGCCACGAGAGCGTTTTGCAATTTTCGATCGGTTGATTTGGTTATTTCTAATCAAACACTTTTTTCGTTCGACAAAGTCTATAGAGGTCGGCAGACATGATAACACATTTGAACTTCACATCAGGACAAGGCGCGATAAATCTCAATTGCCAATACGCGGTTCGGTGTCTTTGCCAAAGAGTTTTGCCAAGGAAGTAGCTGTTCTGGTGTTCACTACTGGAGATAAAGTCGAAGAGGCCAAGGCTGCTGGAGCTCATACTGTTGGGGGAATGGAATTTATTGAAGAGGTGAGATGCGTATAAAAAAAAAGAGACCTCGTTAGTGCAATCAATTGCTGACGCGTGTTTACGGAAAAGACTTGCAACACATGCATTATGTTTTATTGCATATCTTTTATGTGTTAACAGATTAAGAAGGGATCGGTCAACTTGGATCAATTTAACAAAGCCTTAGCGACACCCGATCTTCTTCCTGCACTATTGCCTATAGCCAGAATTCTAGGTCCGAAACAACTCATGCCGACAGTAAAGAAAGGAACAGTGACGGATGATATTGGAGCAGCTGTCATCGAAGCGCTTGGAAAATTTGAATTCAAAGCTGATAAGCATGGAGTCGTTCATGCTCCTATTGGAAAAATGACATTCACCGCACCAGAGCTACAAGGTAAGTTGGTTATTATAGGAGAAGACGATATAAATGTATACGGAGGTATTGATTTACGTCGCGCGTAATTGCTGTTTGTAGAGAATGTTACAACAGTCGTACGGGCAATCGAAGCGATTGGAAAAGACACGAGTAAAAAACCAAAATCGGTTATCGAGAGGATTGTGTTGAATTCGACGCAAGGTCCCGGGATATGTTTGATTGATATAATGAGTATTATCGAAGCTCAGGATATGGCTGCAAAAGAGCTTGGGATGTAAAGCATCAACCACCTTTGGCGTGCTTATGCTAAACAAATTGCCTTTTGGGAGATGACGTCCAGAAGAAAAAACTTTCCATGCCCAACAGAATTATTAGAGAAAGTTTCATAGGTCACAGACCAGTCCGTTGACTGCTATTAATATAAAAAGTTTATACAACATGTCACTTTTTTAACAATAAAAACCCGTAGATTATCGATAAAATTTTGCTTGATATGACATACCTGTCAGGAAGAAACGATAACGCGAAAAACTATTCGCGCTTGGGATTCACAATCCGACGCTTATAACAGGAGTAAGTTTATCTCACACATCGCTACCGCAATGTAAAGTTTATAGATGGGTAATCATTGCACATAATTAACAGTACGGAAGGGAGCCTCGCATCAGAGCGCCCTACGTTAATATTAATATGGGGAATGCATGCGTAGAGAATGTGCGTTTTATTGGTCGCACGTGATTGGACAGTTGCGTGGCTGTCTAGTTCTCGGGCAGGATTAATAGTCCGAAGTAATTCTCGAAAAGCCTCCGAGCCGGTACTTAAAAACTGGTTTCTTTGGGTCTTTCTTGGCTAAATTTAGTAAAGATAAATGGAAGGTGTGCAATATATGAGAGTGTTATATGGAGGATTCACTGTAGTTACTTGATAGCGCAGTTTCGGCCATCGACTTGCGGTACGGGAATTGTGATATCATTGGCATTTGCTACAAGCGCCACCATAATAAATATCAAAGTTCGAAGACTAATAATTAGAGTCGTAAGAAAATACTAGCCCAATACTCTTCAACTATTCTAATTGGTCAATAGAAACAGTGATGAAGTTAATATTAAGGGAATAGCGAGTCCTGTGTAAATATTGACTTCGTGCATCGCATATGCTATATGTCTGGCAGCTGTCCATGAGGATATTATTTTTAGTCAGCCAATCCTTATTGTTATAGGCTTGCTAAGTGAAATTTATTAACAGAATTAACGGTTTTTTTCATATGACGGATTGGTTGAATTAAAGTGTTTCGTAGCAAGCCTGTTCTG